CCTACCTCACAGGAACTCGCCTTGAATTCGTTCGCATTAGACAGAAATCGCACTGAAATCCCTCGAGTTCATTTGAAATCACTAGAAAATCACCTGGAAATCTTCAAAGTTCAGTCAATTAAAATAATTTGAATTCATTGAAAGTCAGTCGAATTCACTTAAACTCTGTGGAATTGACTAGAAATTTTAGGAGATCAATCAAACAATTGAAATTCAACTGGAACCAATGGACGTTTTGCTGGAATCAAAGGAAATCCAGTTGAAATCATGAGCAGATCATATGAAATCGGGAGATGTGGGCCCACCGAGAACTGCCGAGTGGAAACGACTCTGCTCAAATTGTTTGTGGCAGTGTGGCTGGTATGGCGAGGCGTTGCAGGGCGCAACGCTCTTCCGATGACCTCCTTTTGAATGCCAGTCGTCGCCAAGATCCAGTCTGTCCGTAATAAGAAAACCGGCGGTGCGCGGCCGCGGTGGTGTCGCCTCGCGCCCCGCCGGCCCCGCCCCTCGCGATTATAGGCTATTGGCAGGCGCACGACACTGCACAGCGCACTGGCACAGGCTCCCCAGTGGAAGCGGATCACGGAGGGCGACAGCGAAACGGACAAAGAAAAACAAAGACTTCGCAGAGCGATCGGTGTTCGAACCAACCAGCCACCTTCAGCGCCACTCTTTGCGTATGTCCCTTGCACACACCTACCGGTTTAAGGTTGTTTATTTCTTAAAACAAAAACAAAAACCCGCGCGCGCGCGTCCGGGCGGATACATTGAACCAGTGGCGTAGGTATGTAGAGAGAGAGAGAGAGAGGTGTTACGACTCGAGAGATAGTGGTGAACACCCCCTCCTTCACTGATAAATTAAGTGTTATTCAACTGCTCAACACTAATAAATGTGGAACTGCAAGTCAAATACTTGCAAGTGTGCGCGGGTGTTCTCAACGGATCTCCGTTCGCTCTAGCTCTCTCGCACAATCTTGCGCTCGAAGTGTGTGTGTGTGTAAGGGGGGGGGATGAGCGGCTCGCCCGACGGAATAATTGCTTGCTCGCGCAGCGTGAAAAGATAAGTTCTAGCGCCTCACGCCTTCGCGCCGCGACAAGTCAAGCGGTCTCAGGCAAACACCTGAGAGAGCCTACGGGACTGATATCGGCGCGGGGGAAACGCCCGTCCCGTCCCGGGGCGGGGAGAGCACTGTCGTTGGCGTGGAATTGGCAGCATTGCGATTGCCACCTTTGATGTTTGTCAGTGCGAAATTAATACAGCAAACATACATTTTGTGTAGTGTGTAGTCCCGCCAATAAGCCACAGAATTGTTTGCTTTGCAGACTCGGAAGTTTTATTGCGAGGCTCTGCAAGGTTTCGACTCGACTTGGTGGAGGTGGAGAGGACGCGCGGGTGAGGCGCGATTCAACTCCCTCTCCTCGAACTCTTCATGTCACGCGGGCGAAGGAATTACAACAGCGGATCAAGCTCAGACGCCGCAGATTGTGGACTGGCTGAGTGAGCGCCGTGTGGGTAGGCAGCGCCCGGGTTGGCTTGCGGCCGAGCGCCGGGGTTTGCCCACCTCCACGGCGCTCCGGGCCACCGCCGCGCCGGCCCGGCCGCCGAAGAGGCGTCTCGACAAAGATCAAAATAGGGGGAGATCAATTTCCCTCATCGGAGGTGGTAAAACAATACGACGCTCTTGTCCCCCCCCCCCTTTTCCCGACACTCTGGAATGTCTCATAACGGGGGCGGGTAGATCGGCGAACGCTGGAGGACGAGGACGAAGAGCGAGGAGGAGGAGAATTGGAGGAGGATTTGGGGAGGACGAGGACGCGGAGGAGAGCGAGGTGGAAGGAGAGCGAGGAGGACGAGGGGGACGAGGGGAATGGGAGGAGGACGAGGGGGAGGACGAGGGGGAGGACGGGGGGAGGAAGAGGACGAGGGGGAGGAGGACGAGGGGGAGGAGGACGAGGGGGAGGAGGACGAGGTGGAGGAGGACGAGGGGAGGGAGGACGAGAAGAAGGACGAGGGGGAGGAGGACGAGGGGGAGGAGGACGAGGGGAAGGAGGAGGACGAGGAGGAGGGGAAGGAGACAATAACGAAACCGAAGAGTGGCCCGCCTGTGGCCCGCGGACTTGCCTTCCGGGCGGGCTTCCTGCCAAGTTGAGGAGTTGAGTCACGAGCCCCACCAGAACCATCACGCCACCTCCCCCTACCTCCTACCTGCCCCGCGGCCGGGGTGGACACAGCGAAGCACGACGAAGCACGCCGAAGCATGGCGAAGCACGTGGACCACGCCCTTCATAAACTTAGCCTCGTCCCACTGCCGCCGCCGCCCCCCCACACCAACACATACCCAACACCCCACCGCGCCACGACACCTATTGCACGCAAAGTCATTCAACTCGCAGCTGCTGATACGGTATCTGAAGGTGTGGGGCTCACCAACCACAGGGCTTACATGGCGGCGGCAAAGAGCGAACGATAGCGACAATACCAAGCACGGCGCGGCGGCAAACAAAAGACCAAGCCCCGCGAGGTCCACGTCGCTGGAGACGTACACACACCTTACGACATCGACGAGGTCGACGAGGTCGGGGAGGAGAGGGATGCCGGAGGGAGGAGGGAGAGGGGGGGGGGGCGTTCGGACGCACGGAAGGAGGCGACGGACGCTATAGGGCCGGCACTTTATCGCGGCAGTGAATAGCCTCCCCGGCCGGCCCCCGCAGCCGCGCAGCCGCGCAGCCGCGCAGCCGCGCAGCCCCAGTCACGTTTTCCAACAGCCCGTCACGTGGCCCGGCCGCACGCACCCACCCCCGGCCAGCCCGGCCAGCCCCCGCCTCTAGGCCCGCCGGCCCAACTCGTGCGCGAAATCGCACACGCGTCTAGTCTCTGGTCCCGCTGCTGGAGAGAGAGATAGAGAGAGGGAGAGGTGGAGGAGGGGGGAGGCGGAGGCCCTGCAGGTTGGGACGACCGGACAAAAGCTCGCGCCCACTACGTAAGCAGGAGCCGCCCTGCCTGCCTAGGCCCCGCGCCCAGGACGAACTCGGCGCGAACTTATCCTGGTTCGACTTGTCGCGCGGGAAACGTGCGGGAGTTACGTGCGGGGGCGCGTGACGGACGGGGGGCGGCGGCGCTCGCCGTTGTGTTCAAAGTGGGGCCGGGCCGCATGGTTATGACACAGCCCCACCGCGGCGGAAGGTAGGGTGATCCAGAAAGGGACACTTTTAGCAGACGATTCATTTAACACACGGTAAATCAGACTTAGGATACTGACTGAACGTTTTATCTATGTGATACAGAAATATTGCACGATGGTGTGATGGTCATCGCAGAAAAAGTACGACATTAAATTCATTGCTTATATTTGTGATGGCCAACTTATTTGAGCGATACTTAGAGGGTATCATTCGTGCAATGTTCATCACACCGTTTTGCGATGAATCCGGAATCATTGCATTATTTTGCAATTATTATCCCACAAAATTTGTGATAAGAATTCATCACTTCCCCAGGAGTGATAAATCGTGGGAATCACACTAAGACATTTTATCACACGAAAATGTGTAAAAAGTATCACACTTCGAATTACAGTGCAGTGAATAGAACAACTACAAGTAAATATAGAATAAAATCGTTTACATCAGCTATCAGACAGAGCGAAAAGCGACTCAAGTGAGTGTGAGGCAGAGCAACCCTGGATCTGCCAAACACAGCCCAAATCGGTCAATAAACTATCTGGTAAAGTTTAAATGAAAAAATGCGGGGATGTATATGGCTAGTTAAGAATTTGAAAGAATGAATGTGTTTCAATCGTTTCATTGTCTGCGGCTGACAGTGTGGATGATCGGAAGCGGAGGAAGATAGAAATATTTTTAAAAAAACGTGGAATTTCATAGTCGCACTGTTCCGCATGCACGCGTGTGGGCGAGTTGCCAATAACTCGCTCAGTGCACGCCTGCAGAAATTCGACAGCACCCCGTATGCACTCATCTTCCGCGGATGAGTTGGAAGGTTATGGCAGGAGTTGCGAAGGCGTGACAGACAGCGAGGCTCCCGTCCACTCTCGTGTGTGATGTGTCAGTGTCAGCCCCCCCCCCCCCTTCCCCTTACATACATACACACAGCGCCCCGCACATGCCCGCACGGGCTCCAGCTGCAGTTCATTCACCGACGCCTCTGTCATACGCAGCCGACTTGGGAAAATGCGCATGTGATTCGCACTCTGGAAACTCAAGTGTCGTACAGTATAACAGTTTAAACTGCAGTACCATTTGTGTACTACAGTTTTAAGTGTAGTACCATTTGTGTACTACAGTTTTAAGTGTAGTACACAAATGGTACTACAGCACCATTCGTACTGCAGTTTAAACTGTCATACTGTACGACACTTGAGATTCCAGAGCAGGCGTCAGGAAGACTCAAGCGGAACCTATGGCTGAAGCCTGTACAGTCCGCGATCGCAGCGGCTGGCCCAAAGGCTGGCCGGGCCGGTCACCAAGGCTGCTGGAGGCCGTAGCCGCCGCGCCCGCACGCGCCGCAGCAGAACACGATCGTCCGCGTCACCCGCACGATAAATATCATCTCGCACCCTGGATGAGAAAAAAGAAGCGCAGGGAGTTGGCCAGTGCTTCATTGGTCAACCCGTTCCACGGTCTTCCTGTAGGCCTGTACTTGCTAAGTACGGTGTTTCGAGTGCGGAGTACAGGAATTCTTAACATGGAGCCTTATAGGCTTTACAGTATAGACGTACCGGGTGTAACTGTGTAAGTGTTGCGGGATTGCATATGTATTCAATATGGCCGCAAGTGCCATGGCCCCTTACGGGTGTAAAGAGTAGGCAAGCCCGCAACACTGCTGCGTATTCACAGTTACACCCGGTACGTGCATCATGTGGTATACAACAACCTGTGCGGGAATGCTGTATACTTTTTCTCTACTTTGGCACAGGACTTTTACACAGGCAAGTGCACTTTGCGAGGGGGCGGGCGGGTGGGGGGAATCTCGGACACCATCATGCAAAAAGCTAACATCGAAAACCAAACAATGTCAAGACAACCAGGAAACGTGTCTTGGGAGGCCACTCAGGCCCGCTTCGACTGGCTTACCAACTTCGAGATATTGGTTCAATGCAGAAGTGACGAATGGACCGGCAATGGTTTCAGGTGCACCCACATTCCCACAATGAACGCTTCAAAAGACGCCACCCATGGTAGCGCCTGCTACGCGCTGGGTAGGCCGACCCGCCAAGCAGCTGAGCGGAGCCGGCGGCCCGCCCAGAGCGCCTGAGTGCGGGAGCGTCGGGAGCGAGCGAGAGGGCGTTTGTCGCCCAGCAGCTTCACGTCGCGCCACCTCGGGGAACGTCTGTGGGAGCTACTTTAGATGTACGGAGAGGCCAAAGGGTGACGTCAACGTCAAACCAGGTGACATTCCCCAGTCAGCTTACCGACAGTTGACCCGGAGGAGGATTTGTCGAAACTATTCGATACCTCGACAAATTGTAATGACAAATCGATTTTCAGTTACTGACAGGGATTCCGATTCGGGAGGATTTCTGGCAAGCGCGGTATAAAGGTCCGGCTGACAGAGGTAGAGGAAAAGAGAGGGGGTGCACCGTGGATCACTGATATACACAAATTGCCTACTTTTCAGGCGGCTCACGAGACGATTGGGGAGGGGGGGGGGCATCGCCCGAATTCTGGAGAGCCAAGGAATTGCTGACTGCAAAGCTACACCGATGCGATAAGCAGGGCCATTCCGCACAGCACTTTCGTTCTTCTTTCCTTGTCGCACTCACAGGACACCACCTCAGGGTGAGGGTGAGAGAGAGAGGGAACGAGAAAACGCTGTGCGGAATCGTCTTGAAGGCGGGTGGTTTAATTTGTTCTGCTCGATGCTCAGTCAGGACCTTAACTTTATCTAAGAATACAGTGACCTAGGGAGCCTCGAGGCTCCAAGAGTCTCCCTACCCCTACCCTGTAAATCCGGGGTGTCCAGCAGGTAGGCGACAAAGTCACCTGACCCCCAAAACTAGGCGACCTATGTCGAAAATCTGCTGTATGAGTCCACAGGCATTCCACCCACAGTGCCCATGCAATTACCCGGAAGACCAGAAGATGTCCAGCAGATAGTCGACATAAATCGCCTAGTTTTGGGGGTCAGGCCTACCTACGGGACATCGCGGATTTAGAGTGTACAACCCCCCCCCCTCTCTCCTGGCTACGTATTTGTCTTACTTATTTTTATTTCTGTTAGCTGTGTACGGAGCTCAACACCACGGAACAGGGAACAGGAAGGTTGGCGCTACGGATTGAGCCTCGGCGCGCTGTGCTGTGCAGGCAGCTCTACAGCCTCTACAGCAGCAGACCGGCGGAGCGGAGTGGAGCCGAGGTCGTCATCGAGCCTCTCTCACTTCGACAGGCTCCCTCCTCCCCTGTCGTCCCTGGTGAGAGAGAGAAAGAGAGGATGGGAGGAGGGGGGGCCTTCCCGTTCCCCGTCCCTCCTCTGCCGAGGTGACAGGAACAACACAATCGAGCACGGCACGCCGCCGCCACTACCGGGCAATCACTTTTTTCGTGAAGGACTTTTCCTCGATTTTGACTATCTTTTCCACTTTATTAGCAATAATTTCGCAATTGTTTCTTTCGTAAAAAAATGAATTAGGTACACCAGAACTTGCTGTCTCTCACCAATTGAAAGCCTCTGCCTCATATGTACAGCCCACACAGTTAAGTGACAATGAAGCAACTTGGTAAAACTTTTAACAGCAGATTATTTTAAGTCATAGTTAGGCCTCTTTGAGGTCTAAAAAGTATGACCTTCGATCAGCTGATGACATCAAATCATCATTACTTAATGTTTTATCTCAAATTAGCAAATTGCGGAAATTCGCCTTTCCATTTTGAAAAAAACGACACAAGAAAACTTACATATAGCGTAAAGTATCATAGCACAAAACTTCATTTCCATCAAGATGAAGTCCCTCTGCAGGCGTCTTGTACCAATTCATTCCTTTGCATATGTGTCTTGATACAAGATAGAGGTTTAGGATCTAAGTCAACAGCAGTTATTTTTAAAATGTACTTTGTTTTCGAGGGTACATCTTCAACTGCTGGTAATATTTGAGCCTCAAAACTATTCTCTTTCCTAA